TTTCCTTCCTTAGATATTCACTTGAAATGTGTCTGTTACATGCCTTCCTTGAAAGGAGACAAGTGCTGAGTACTTCTTGTCCGTCATCTTGATCTTCTCTCAGTGCAGTTTCTAAATAACCTTTTCAGATTAAAGTTTTCCAAAGTGAGAATGCAAATAATCCATAATTACTCAGTATCATCAAATATTTACTTCGCAAATCTGGTGTAGAGGTTCACAGAGAAATTAGATGAACTAAATCCTTCAATTGTTCAAATTTTTATACTAACTCAGGTAACTAACTTCTGAGAGAGTCATAAATACATAGGTAGCAGATATATTACTTATTTCATTCTGCTGATTCTCCTCTGAAATCCTCACAAGGCTCTTTATAATAATCTAACTTAATTTTCTTTGTGACTTTACATTTTAATGTTAAGATTTATAAGTTCCTTCAAGAAAGCTAAGATCAACATAGTAAAATAAAGACTGAAAATGCTCATTGTATTTAGGACAATGAAGCTCAGGATGACTTTAGTGAGTGCTGTTTTAATGTAGCAAGTCAGAATTAGCACAGATTAAAAGAAGGACAAAGGAAGTATGGGGGAATAAAGGGAAATAAAATATATACAACTTTTCCAAAACTTTGGTTCTAGACTGAAGAGAGCTAAGACAGTATCTAGAAAAGAGAAGAGATATAGGGTAAAGGTGAGAGACACCCGAGCTTAGTGTTTGAAAGAGAAATACAAATATTTTTATTTTATTCATATATTATACCAAATAGTTTTATATTAAGGCTCAGCTGGCATTTTGAAACTATCATTAATTTATATTCTAAACCAAAGACACCTAATAAGTGTATCTAAACATTATCTTCTGTCTACCTTTCCTCAAAATAAGGTAAACAGGGGCCAGCAGGTGGCGTGATGATTAAGGTGCTGGACTTCCATATGTCCGACCATGGTTTGAGTCCCAGATGTGGGTCTTGAAAAATCACTTGGATGCGTGTGTGTGTGTGTGTGTGTGTGTGCCCCCAAAATCCCAGGAAGAGAATGGACTGTGGCATGTCATCCCCCCTGGGGGGTAGGGGAGGAGGATTTCTCATTTTTCCCCTCACTATCTCTCTATATTTCTCTTTGCAAGTGCAGTACCCTGTGGCAAAAACCTTAAAAAACAAAAAGGTAGATAAAAACTATGAGAAAAAAAATTATGAAAAACACAATGTATAAGTGACTAAATAAATCCTTTCTTCATTGCTTAAAGTAAGATAATTACATACAGAACTTTAATATTTATATTCTTTTTTTTTCTTTTTAACTGCCAGAGGGTACATGTGCTCACCAGAGAGACATAGAATGGGAAGGAAAAAAAGCACCCTCCCCCTCAAGCAGAGGGGGACGGTCATACCACAAGCCCTTTTCCTCCATTTTTCCATCGTGTTGGGATTTTAGGCAGGCATGCTGCGGGAGCTGTGGCTTAAACTGGTCATGTGGGATCCGGCTCCCTTAACTACTAGGCTTTGGGGCTGACCCGAGAAATTTTTTATTCTTATACTACACACACTCTATAGAACAAAGAGAGTGATGTATTACAATGTAGCACATGAGCCATAAAAGTGTTCTCTAGAATTATTTATTTATAAAATCCTATGACTAGAGACTGACTCACATCTATGAAATATCTTTGTTGAGTAAAAGTACCATGAGTTAAAAAAAATTTCAAAGTAACTGAATATTTTCAATTATTTTCATATGTTCCTCATACCAAGTCCAGAAAGAAGACTATGATGGGCAAAATAATTTCTAGAGAAATGTCTGCAGGGTCAGTAAGTTTTTAACTCAAGAGCATCACTCCAATTATGTTTAAGTCATATATCCTTTCAAAGTCTCCAAGCATAAATAAAATTTAACTTTTGAATTTTCCACGATGCCAAAGCAATTTACAAAACAAGCCCTATATATAATAAAAATTATCAAATAATTGAAAACTAGCTGACACAAGATTTTATTTATTTAAAAAAATTAATGGCCAAATTGACAGCAATTGTCTTCACTCTCACTACTTCTATATAAAATTTTCTCTGATGAACAAGTGATTCCAAGGAGACCGGTAGATCAGAATTAAACTAAAAATATGTGTAAAATATTTTAAGAACGAAGCTTAAAAAGTTGAAAGTCAAAAAAACTCAGTAACGTTTATCAAGTAAATTTAGTATTATCTTGTTGCCTTAACATTACCAAAATACAAAGTTCACACTGCCTGCATGGTTCAAAATAGATTTATAATGTCTTTCCCCACTTCCTTAAATAAACATGATTACACTTTATGTAGAAAAAATAATTACTTACCGCTATTATATCTAACGTATTATCACAGACCTTTCGGATTTCATTATTTTTGTCATGCATCAGATCTATGAGATATGCAGGAGCCTCTGAATAAAAATGGTTAAAGAGAAAAACTGCATTTGAGAGTCCAGTTACTTAATCATATTAGAAATGTAAGTGCTAAATTGAAATATAACTTCAAATTTTAAAGTAAAATAATTAATACAAGACTGCCAATAAATTTTAGTATTTCAATTGTTTAAAAAATAGGGATATTAGGGACATAAGAAAAACAAAATCAGTAAAGCGAGTATAGGTCCACATTTTTGAAAATAAGAAAATCATAAAAATAATTGAAGAAGAAGCTCTATAGCTGCTCAGTTGCGAAAGCTTTCTTGATATATTTTGCCTTTTTAAAGATTCAGGAGAACTTTTATACAAAAATGAACAACAGAAAAGAGTAACAATCAAACAGTAATCATAAGCAAAGAAGAGAAAACGTGGTAAGATATTTTCACATTAAGATGCAGTAATTCAACCCCAAGACAGTGGGGGGAAAAATCTTTAAACTGCTGAGAAAAATAACTGCTAACCTAGAATTCTATATTTTGCTAAATTATTATTAAAGAGAAAAAAGTTTATTTCATAAAATGACAGACTTTATTATTCATACTTAACATTTAAGTATAAAGAATGTACTTCTTTTTTTTTTTCTGATTTTTTTGCCCCAGGACACATGCGTGATGCAGAGAGAAGGCAAGAAAACACCCCCTAGGAGGGATGGCCACACTGCAGTCCCTTTCATCCATCCCCCCTGGGGATTTTGGGCACATACGCACACGCCTAGCCTGAGTTTTAATCTGCTGGGTCCGGACTCAAATCGTGGTTAACTACGTGGGAGTCCAGAGATGTAGCCATTATGCCATCTGCTGGTCCCAAGAACATACTTCATTATGAAAAAAATAAAAAGGCATAAAGGAATGGAATTCAAGAAAACATAGTAAACAAGGAAACTGGTTAGTATACTGTAAATTCTAAATAAGTATTGTTTTTTAAAAAGCACTAATTAAAATGATTAATTTTGAGATGTTGTTCTGTAACTTGTAAATAAGCATTGGTTCTTAAAAAGTATTAATTAAAATGATTAATTTTGAGATGTTACAAAAATTTTATAATAATGAAGTGAAATTATCATACTAGATAACAAATAACATAAAAGATGAAAATCAAGTTATCAGTCTTAAAAACAGGAGATAGGGGCAAACATATGGCATGATGGTGAAGGTGCTGGACTCCCATGTGGCTGAGCGTGATTCAAGTCCCAGACATTGAGGCTTGAAAATCATGCAGGGTACGTGCACGCTCCCAGAATTATGAGAGAAGAAAGGAGGAGGAGGGACTCCAGCATGGCCACCCTCCCAGGGGGTGATTTCTTACTATCCCTCTCACTGTCTCTCTCTGGTGATTGCACATTCCTTATGCCAAAAATCTTAAAAAAAAAAAAAAAAAAAAAAAAAAAAAAGGAGGATAGCTATTTTCTTTTGGAACCTGGTGAGAATGCATGTTGAAATTTGTCTTCCTCCACCACACACACATATACATACACAGAGAGGGGTGGGGAGAGAAAGAAGTGGAATCTATAAATTGTAAATTAGTGAATCAATAAATCAAACTCTAGCACATGTTCTAAACAGCAACAGACCGCATGCATGGAGATGGTCCCATACGAATGTAACAGGCGGCCTCAGCCAGCCTAGGTGTGTGCTAGGTTAGACCATGCAGGTTTGTGTAGTACACTATGATGGTGAAGTCACTTGGTTGTGTGTTTCTCAGAACACAATCCTGTCATTAAGCAACACAAAACTGCAAATTCTTTGTAACACCAGTTAAAATAACAAAAATTTTTATCAACAGTTTCATGACCAATAAGTGACAAAGACAGGACATCACCCTGGTCTTCTCATTATTGTTATTACTTTTTGAGGGAAAAAAGAGATGTATTTTAAATGTATAAATAACAGAATAACAATATATCTGTGCACTCTGAAAATAATTTTTAAAAATCTGCAAAGAATATGGGGACAAGCAGATGGTGTAATGGTTACATCACTGGACTCCCATGTAGTCAACTGTGGTTCAAGTCCCAGACCCAGAGGCTTAAAACTTAGACCCAGGGA